TATTGGAGGCTCCTACATCTCTTATCACAATCCATACATTCTTCCAGTGTGTCAAGCACATTTGCACATATGCTGCCATTATCATTTTCAAAGCATTCTCTTCCCACTTGAGGCCTTGATATCAACTCCCCATTTCTTCCCCTTCCCTCCCCTCCCCTCCCTCCCTCACACACCCTTGATAAGTTATAGATTATTATTTTCACATCTTACATCATTTTTCATCGCCCCTCACCCACTTTTCCATTGTTTGTCCCCTTGGGAGGGGTTTATATGTTGATCCTTGTGATCCATTCCCCATTTCTACCCCAAACCTCTCCTAATCCTCCTGGTAACTGTACTCTCATCGTTGGCCCTGAGGGGTTTATGTATCCTAGATTCCCTGAGTTGCAGGCTTTGGTCTAATCCGATTTGTAAGGTAGGATTCAGGTCATGATAGTTGGGGGAAGGAAGCACCAAAGAACTAGAGGAAAGTTGTGTGTTTCAGCGGTGCTATACTCCACCCTGACTGGCTCATCTTTTCCCTGTGACCCTTCTGTGAGGGGATTTCCAATTGTCTACATATGGGCATTGGGTCTCCACTCCATGCCTCCCACCCCCATTCACATTGGATATGATTTTGTTCTGGGTCTTAGATGCCTGATACCTGATCCCATCGACACCTCATTAATGATCACACAGGTTGGTGTGCTTCTTCCATGTGGGCTTTGTTGCTTCTCAGCTAGGTGGCCACTTGTTTATCTTCAGGCTTTTAAGACCCCAGACACTATATCTTTTGATAGCCGGGCACCATCAGCTTTCTTCACCACATTTGCTCATGTACCCATTTTGTCTTCAGCGATCGTGTTTGGAAGGTGAGCATCACAGGATGCCGGATTGTTAGAACAAAGTGTTCTTGTGTTGAGGGAGTACTTGAGTCAAGGCCCAATGTCCAGCTGTAACCTTAATTCTTAACATATAGATATGAGTACATAGTTCTATTCCCCTCTCATTTTATATATATATATATTTATATGCCTGTATTTAGCCCTCTATTACTGTCCTTTTCCTCCTAGTCATTTCCTCTATTTACTTTTACTTTCTTCTTGCCCCACCATCATGTTCAGCCTTAATTTGGGTTTAGTAATTCCTTAGTGCTACATTGCCCTTGATTAAACCCCATAAGGCATCCTATGCCCTTCCTTCCATTGATTTTAGTTCACTTGTTGTTCCCTGTCCCTGGGTTGGTTCCCTTAGCCCTTCCTTTCTACCACCTCCCCTTTTTGATTATTTTCTTATTTCATACCTCCCCTCCATTTTAATTTCTTCTAAAAATTATTACAAATAGAAAAGCTTCCATCAACTTTATAATGAATGACTGAAAAACAGAAAATAAATATTTAATGGTGTATCTATTTTATGTGTTAAAAACTCATAAACTTATGTATTTGATCTGTGCAAAATTGTTGATCTGGGAGATACAATGTTAAGAGTTAACTCACTGTAAATATCCAATTAGCCATTGAATTTATGAGCATATTCAAGTGATTGATCATGTCCCAAAGGCTGTAAGACTAATACTAAGAGAAAGAAGTTTCTTTCTGACAGCCTCTTTTTATTTTTAATTGCAATGGTGTCTACCTGCATTGAAATGCACAGACTTTCATTGTCCTGAAGTGATGAGTTTTGTGAATCAAAGTTACAAATTATATCTATAATCTCAGAAAATTACTTGTGCCTCTAATTAATGAAAACTCACCTCTTAAGAAAAAACTATTTTGGTAACATAATCAGAAATGGCCTGTTTTTGAAATAATAGAAATGGAATTATATGGTACATATGCTTATCTGTCTGGAACTTTTAGTTCAATATTCTTGTGAGCAGACCATGTAAAGTCTTAATTCATGTGCTTGACCTTTCTAGTTTCTAATATTCATTGTAATGACTACACAGAAACCCACAGACAAAACTCATGATTAGAAGGTTTATTAAGAATATTAGCAAGTTGTAATGCCAGTGGGAAGATACTCTAGGTAGTTGTTTGTTTCAGGGCATTGCTCAGAAGTGCCCAAAGAGGTATACTTCTCTGCTGTAAATCTCAACCCAAAGGCATTGAGCTCAGCCTATGTGAGTGAGCAAACACATTTCCCAAATTAAGTGCCCAGAGACACCCCAGTCCAGTAAGCATTAGCCCAAAGGTGCTCAGCTACACTTCCATGCGTCAGCAAGTCCAAATGCCCGAATTAAGTGCCCAGAAGAACCCCACTCCAAAATGCCAGACTCCAGCACAAAAGCTCTAATCTCAACTCTCTCTATGGATTGGGAGGCCCATCACTCTGTTCTATGTTCTGGCTCCGGCTGTTTCTTTGATGAAATAGATGTCATCAGGACCCAGAGGGTTCACTGTGCAAAAATCTCGTGTCCAGAGGAAGAGCTGCCCTCCTGGATCTTGCTGGTAAGGAGATTCCCACTCCTACTTCTCAGGGAGTTCATTGTATGCACAGCAGGATGCCACTCTAAGGAATTCTGAAATTACTCACCTGTGAATGCTATCAGTATGTCCCCCCACTTTCTTACCAGACCCGTGCAGAGAAAAGTAAGCTGTTCAGGGAGAGTGGGAGACTTTGCAGAGATAAACCACATTAAATCAATTCACTGCCCCTGCAGACCATCTTATTATAATTATCTACATTTTCTTCTTAATTTCAATTTAGTAAGAGCTAATATTGTATGACTTCATCTAAAATGTGAAGAATCCACTTCCTGGCTCACAGAGATCCTGTGACTAGCTGAAAGAAACTTCTGTTCATCTCCTCACAAAATATAAGGACTTTAAGGATTTTTTCATAAAACGGTTATTGCCAGTTCTATTCCAACACATAGTGACTCTATGAGACAAAGTAGAACTTCTCCATAGAGTTTCAAGGCTTTAATCTTTACGGACATGGGTCCAACTGGCAATGGAATGCTCAATCACTGCACCACCAGGGCTAGTTACAAGGATCTTAAACAATAGGATTCCATGTACACTGCTCTGGTGTATGCTAAGGAGCCCTGATAGTATAGGATTAAGGGCGTGGCTGATAACGGAAAGGCCAGTGATTCAGACCCACAGGAGACAAAGGTGGTGGTCTGCTCCTTTAAAGATCTGCAGCTTTGGAAGCCCTATGAAGATGTTCTACTCTGACCTACAGGCTTGTGATGGGGTGAAATCATCTTGAGAACATTGGACTGACTTTGGTGCTATTATGACCTTATAATTAATTTATCTATACACTTAATGTACCTTTCAACACAGTATCACTCTTTTAACTTTAAACAATCAGTTGTCTTTTTAAACATTAAGAAAAATATTGAATATACATTTATATATTTATAATCTTTTTATTTTTTATGTATACCCTTGTTTTCATCTAGTATCATTTATGTTCATCCTCATCAACTTTTCATTTTTCTTCTGTACAGATCTGCTGGTTATGAATTTCCTCAGCTTTACTTTGTATAAAACTATATTTCTTTCTTCAGCATTGTTGAAGTTATTTTGAGTCAGATACTGAATTTTCAACCCTTTAAAATGCAGATCCCGTATGTTTGGTCTTGAAAAATGCCTAAATAATAATATTTAAGGAGGAAGGGACAAATATTTTGCCTCAAATGTTTTTCTCAGGATCACTGTTCATCTTCATTCTGTATTTACAATAGAGTTAAAAAAATCATATGTCAAAACTGGGCAGCATCTATTAGTGCACCAAATTAAATAGTCTTATTCACATAAGAAAGAAGCTGGTTTTCACAGAGATTAATCATCTTGCCTACGATTAATGTTGCTAGCTGTTGTAGACATTAAATAGAAAGCCAGGCTCCTGGCTCTTAGTGCAGTTTTTCCACATACCACACCGGCACACGTGATATGGCTCAAGACAATGAGAAACCACTTATTTGGAGATTGACTAGTTCTAAGACCATCATCAAAACCCCAATTTTTTATGGTGTCAAGTCTGACTCTTGGTGATCCCACGTGTCTCAAAATGAACTGTGCTCCAAAGGGCTTTCAGTGGCTGATTTTTTGGGAAGTAGAGCTGCAGACCGATCTTCCTCTCTTTCTCTGGGTATATTTCAAACTCCAACCTCTCAGGTAGCTGCTGAGCATATTCATTGCACACTGCGCAGGCACTGTGAGCAGCTGTTAGGTGGATTTCCTTGGACTCTTGTTCTCAGCACTTACCAGTGAACCTGCTCCTACTCCATCTCTGTTTTTGAAATGTTGTTAGGTATTGATCAGTCAGCTCTGACTTGTCACCAACCCAAGAACAATAGGATAAAAAAACAACAAAAAACCATCAGTGGCTACAAGGGCAGTGTGTTGCTACTTTATATATAACCTGTTTTTTTAAAAACAAAACAAAAACACCCTATCACCACAACCAACACAAAATGCCATTTCATGAAATGCCAAAAGGCAAAGTTTCTGTCACTGTCTTTGAGCTCCTTCGGATCCTTCAGAACAGGCCTTCTCAAACGGTGGCCTGTATCAGAATCACCAGGAACATTTGTTTCAACAGATTGTTGGGCCTCCACCCTGAAGCTCTAAAATGTATCAAGTACAGCTAACGTTGAAAAAAATGAAGATACAATGACGTTTAAAGGTATATTTGGCCTTTTAGGGACCCCTGATATGTTTCCCCTCGACTTTTTAGCTTGTGCCTTTAGAAGAATGGAAGCAATATTTGTGTAATTTCATAATAAGGGGTAAAACAAGATATGTAAAGATGATTTTACAATATGACTATAAATGGAAGGTAATTTGCATTTAGAAAATACCATGCTATTAATTTCTATAAAGTGCTTAGAATGTAAGGGATTTGTATACTTTACCATTTAGAAATGTATTTCTTTTGGTTATTTTTCATTTTTAAAAATGCTATACTTTAGTACTGACATTGTTTTTATCACTGCTATGTAGAAACCATAAACAACAAGTAGGTGCCGACTCCTAATGCCTGACTCTGCTGTCCCTCCACAGTGAGCGATGCAGGAGCACCTTGTACGGACACACGGATTCTGTCAACAGCATTGAGTTTTTCCCGTTCTCCAACACTCTCCTCACGGGATCAGCCGACAAGTCCCTGTCTCTCTGGGACGCAAGAACAGTAAGCAAATGCAGACTCTTTGTCAAGTTGTTGACAACTTTAGTCACTGAAAGTTATTCTAGAAATCGTTTATAAAGGAGTTGTGCAAGGTTATCCAGATTAAAAGAATGGTGATCTATAATTTTCTGTTTCTATACACTTATCTACTCTACCTCACAATCATGAGGATTATAGAATGAATGTAACTATTAATTTAACTTTCTTTTGAGACCCAGACTTTTCTGTTGTAGGGAATACAACAGGGAAATGCATAACGCCTCTCCTGAATCTAAAGCTCACCTCCCATGGAGTGGATGTCAATTCATAGCAACTCCCTGGGACAGGGTAGCCCTGTCGCTCTTCACACAAGTAGAAAGCCCGCCTTCTCCTGGGAAGCAGTTACTGTGTTCACACTGCTGACCTTGTGGGTCTCAGCCAAACACATAGCCACTGAGCCACCACAGCTCCTCCCTAGAATCTTGTCATTGATAACGAGGTTTAAAAAGTTTTTTTAAAAGATTATTTGAATGCAGTGGGGTGCTGACAGTGGAAAAGAAGTTACAAAGGAAAAGCAAGAGGGAGAATCCTCATCTGTCTGTCAGAGTAGATAGCTTTACAGAGGAGACTACATCTGAACTGAAATTTTAAGCACAATTGGGATATAACAGGTATGCTCTAGAAGTGTAAATTCCAGGAAATGACCAGCAAAGCACTGGAATAGAACCATCTGGGAATAATATTACATATGGAGGAGAGTGGAGATTATGCAAGAAGGAAGAAATTAGCAATTTTCCTTGTTTACTCAGGGCTAAGAATTTTCTGTTTCTGTGGGCATACGAGATATTGGCAGAAGTGACCTGGACAAGTATGACACTTGTTTGTTTGTCTTCTGTGTAATTATATTAATTGTACAACATATTATCATATTACATTATTTGACTTGTAACTCAATTCAGTCCTTAGTATACTGGTATGATGCTTCTTTATAATAATTAGATTAAGTTAATTTGTTGAAAAATGATATTGCCAACTTGCGTATATGATCATTCTGGACCTAAAAGGGGATAACTTATTTACCTCTCTTATTAGTACAGTACCTGGCATTTATTATGTTGATGAATTTTTATTGTGACTAGGTTGGGACAGAGCTTT